ATATAAAGTCCTGTAAAATAACTTTAGCATGTGTATTTTTACAATAATTTCAGTTTCACCACTAAGATTTAAAAGAAACTAAAAAAAATAAGAATTTTTGAAACCTCGCTGGCAGAATTCATTAAAAATACACAAAAAAAAATTATAACTCGAAAACTAAGAAAAATCGCGGAACATACATGGGGTATTTTCGGATATCCCCAGGTGCGAGGAATCTAAAAAAAATTGTTGTCGTCACTAGTTGGACCACCCTGTATATTTAAATATCTTATATGTGTTTGGTGTATGTATGTATATACTAATATATTATATATTTTACTAGCGATTTACACCGCCGTCTCTCCCACTTCCTTCTAATCCTCTCCATCCAAAGGTTGCATGGAAGAGATCGCTTTAAGCGATAAGGCCGCCCATTGCATCACGTGTACTTGATGGTTTTGTACTTAATGTTCAATGTTTTTTTGTGGAGTACAATAAAGAGTTTTTGTATTGTATTAGCAGTCACGATTTTATTTTTAATGTAATTTAGTTGTAGCACAAACCCTTTTGAATGATTTTGCGTAATGTTTAACGGAATCAACGAAGTCTTGAGAATTATTGTATTTCCTTAAGTGGAACAATTCATAAAACTTGTTTCTAGATTTATAAATACAAGGAAAGAAAGCCTAACCGAATTCATTCTTAATTAAATGGAAAAGATCGCCATAAAGAATATTAGTATCATCATGTGTCCATGGCATTAGAAAAATCTTATCATCAATATTTAATTTAAAATTTTCTACACGCTTTTTAGTTACTGGCCTTAACTCAATGAACTTAGGCAAAATAGTGACATTAATAATATATGTGTTATTTTTAGACCGTAGTGATTATACGTAATATTATTAATAATTGATTTTCTAGCCGGATTATAGTCTGTAAATATATTATCCAAATATGTGGCTGAATGAGATGTTAAGAAGAGATATTATGCGAACTGACATTGCATTGTTTTTCAAAAATTTTAATATCAAAATCGCCACATACTAGCAAAGATTTATTTTTCGACTTTAACTTTTTGAGAACTTTCTCCATCACTGATTCAAAAACACTAAAGTTACCTAGAGGGAGTACATGAATGAAAAAGTACATTGATAGTGATTAATTTCACTTCATATAGTAAGTGGTCTAATTGGGTCTAGTACCCATTGGACCCTCCTAATTGGACCTTACCTACAAAAAAGTGCCCGTTGGACCTCCTATCAAGAACACGGTGCCCATTGGACCCTCAAAGCCGTACTTAACGACACAATGGGAGCTATTGCAGCTCTTAACTATTTGGCTAATTCTTTTGGAACGGTAAAGTACAGTCGTGTAGTAAAGTAACATTGTAAAAGACATAAAAACACAAAGGTTATAATCTAAGTAGTACATATTTATAAAATTCAAAACACTAATCATCAGTAACAAACCAATATAAATATTTACATAAAATATAATAATCAAATCACAGATTTTTTACTTTACTTTTAAAGCCAATAGAAATTATTTTTTATCAAATAGCTTAACTAAATTATAAATATGGTTTGTTATATCACACAGACTAAGCACAATTATTATATATTCTAAATATTGATAAAATAAATAAAAGCACAAAGGTTATAAATGTAAGTATTTTAAATCAACATATTTATAAAATTCGAAACATCAATTATCAGCAACAAACCATATAATATAATAATCAAATCATAGATTTTGTTATTTTACTTTTAAATAGAAATGTTTTTTATCAGATATCTTAACTAAATTATACATACAGTTTTTAAATCACTCAGATTAACTATTGAAGCATTATGTATTCTAAATATTCATAAAATAAAATACCAATGTAATATTTTCATATTACATTTTATAAAAAAATGTTTTCTAATCATATTTTTATAATTAACGAGAAATTGCTTATTATAAAAACATACTTTAACTAAAGGATATGGTTTAAAAGCGGTAGTCGGTTTCCGGCAGGAACGAAATATATATAGTTTGAAAGTTTGTATAACACGAATAGATACTTTGATTTTTTTATTCATTACCGATTAATTTAAAATCGTGTTTAATAATTAAACAATTCTGTAAGTATGCTGGCCACCCTATCTTAGTAACGTCATATTTTTAGTGCGTGGTGGCTTATAACGTCAACTCAATCACTATGGCAAATGTCAATCAGTCCAGTCATGGATTATTATCAGAATTATTATCACTGCTTTTGTTACACATTGAACATAATATATTTGATGCTTGGCAACAAAAAATAGACAAATAAACTTGCCATTTGCAAAACAATTATTAGATAGATTTATGTTATTTTAATATAAAAAACCGGGATAAAATAAAATTATAGTTTTTTGTCAAAAGATTCACAATTAAGTGCGCTGCATCTCATAAAAACTTGGAGTCTGCCGAAAGACCCACTACCAACCTCCATCAAAAATTTAACAGTCTTCTTTTGTAAAACGTTATAAATTACCAAATTAAATATTTAAGACACATATGTGAGTAATTTTTCGAAGCAATGGCCTACGGTTGTAAGATTATTTTCTAGCTGCAACATAGGTCATAAATCGGAACGAGACGGCAATATTTCTCTCTCTCTCTCCCACATATGAGATCGGCGCCATCCTTTTGTTTAAGCGCAGAGATTGCTTGGGCTTGGCATCTATAACCTTCCTTTCATCAGGTGCTTAAGAGGAGTATAACTGCCGATAAAAACATTCAATCTCCCTCAGAATTTCAGTCTTAGATCAAAAGATGATGTCTTTGCAAAATCCACCATCATGTTGCTTAGGTTATCTAGATCCAAGACGTTTTAAGGAACTTTGAATCAATCGAACTGTGTTCGATTTGAAAGGTCTTGTGGATTTGGTGTTGCGCTGTAAGGGTATTTATTGGTCAGTGTACGATCGCCCTATTGAGTGAAACCTTTTTACATTAATGATCATTAATGTAATTAAATTTAAAATTAATATAATTAATCATTCCTTTAAACCTAAAGCACAAACATATATAATGTCTTTTAAAGAAAAAAAGGTTTTACAATATTTACGAAAATAAAAAGATATTGAAGTATTATCATTGTCACTTGCACCCTTATAAACCATAGAATAAAAATACATGTCAGTAGTGCAATATTTGGATTTGGCTCCTTGTCAATACGAATAAAATAAAAATTATACAAATTAAATTTTGATTACTTTTGATTCACTTTTTATTTTTTAAATATCTCTCTTATATATATCTCTAAATATATATCTTATTGTACGAGTACATTACTAAAAAATCCAAATGTGTTAAAAATTAGCTTTTCTTAAAGCTTACTATCATCTGTCTGCGTCCAGTATTTATAGAGCAATAGACAAAAAAAAGTTATTTTTATTTTTCCTGAAAACTTACATTTTTGTACTTATAGAATTATCTTTTTATTCTCCGGGGACGGCGAAATATCGTTAATTCGAAGAAAAAAGGTAACCAGATTTCTTTATAATTTGTTTAGGACTACTTTCTGTTTGGAGTCAGTATTTATTCAGTATTTAGTTAGTGGCTTTATAATACCTACTATTAATTTTATTTTTGTCTACAATTTTCTACATGACTGTACTGTGCTTAACAAAACTGTTAATAAGGTCCAACTGGCAGTAGGGTATAATCTTGAAGGTCCAATGGGCACTTAATAAGAGGTCCAATGGGCACATTGAAGATAATTTTTTTAAGGAGGTGAATGGGCACCAAAAAAGAGGTCCAATGGGCACATTGAATATAAAATGTTTTAAGAAGGTCCAATGGACACCAAAAAAGGGGTCCAATGGGCACTTTTTGCGTTTGGGTCGAATCTTGAGGGTCCAATGGGTACTAGACCTCTAATTGACTGACAACAAATACCTTAATAATGGAATATATTCATATTGCGCAAACTTCCAATCGCAGACAGCGCGTCAATTATCTTTTAAGTTTGAATAATGTTGATGCTGTCACTATCGAAAAGAATTTCGCATTTAGCAATAAAATAAGGCAGCACGTCAAATTCATTCACAAGCATTAAATTTAATCGATATTTCGGTATGCGTCTGTTGAAGACCTAATTAAAAATAACAAGATGCTTAGGTTCTTACCGACAAAATATTAATACTTTCGTGACAGGTCCTACATAATTTGTAATTTAAGACACGTCGTCGATACGTCATGAATTGTATCGAGACGAAGCGTGCAAATAACGATTTGACCTCCGTTTATTAATCACATTAACCTGGTCAAAGGCCAGGTCAGGAACATTGTAATAACAGGAATACGAAATGTCCTACTTAGCAGGTTAAGTATATCCTTCATATAAACTAACTCCGAAAAAATCATTCCATTGACAAGTTCACGATAAAGCACTTTATGCTTCGATCAACAATTCTATAGATAACCGGTTGCATACAAAATCAAAGCTATATACTTACGCAACTGCATTCGTTTCCCAATGAACAAAGACAAATGTTTTAAAGCAGTTTAAGTTGAACCTAATGACAAACATGTCACAAAGTAATAAAGTTACAAATAACGAAATGTTATTTGTATATACGACTTTTTACACCGACCCATTGGCTATGTATTAATTGAACTAATTGAAAATAAGATCTCACGCCTCAAGTGAGGCTATATTTACCGAGATCAGCATTGTTGATCGCCGACTCTATGCCTTTCTTTCTCAATTTCACATCTAGTCTAGTACACGGTCTTTCACGTTACTTTAATAGCAAAAAAATTTTAGTAACTTCTATTCATCTCTGTATAAATAAATGAATCCCTATTTGAAAGGGATCGCTACAGTATCCTTATGGCAATAGCTGATGATAAGTTTTTTGTACCATAACGGTAACCTTTGTTGTTATTCTCATAAAATCTTTTTAAATTGTTTTACTGCTATCTCATAATATGTTATTGGATCCTTGATGTCTGTACTAAAGAATTATTATTATTTTGTCCAGGTGGAGTATGTATTCCTGGTGGGCGTGGGAGGTGGTGTACCGCATTATACAGATTACGCGAAGCACGTGCGCCTTGGAGACGTAGTTATTTCCACACCAGCGCCTGATCTTCCTGAAAAGTATGTAGATTCATAACTTTTAATACTGCCCAATCTGTAGGTATAAAATATGTAATTAAATTACATCTATATTAATGCATAACGGTAACGCGTAAATAAGCATGTGATGCCAATGACGTTTTACTCAAAGGAGATTGAATCTTTTTTACCCGACTGCGCAATGCAAGAGCGCGAAGCGCGACGCGCAGAGAGGGTATAGTGTTTAACAGTCTATATATGTATGTTTGTTCCTTTGTGGCACACTAGAGACAAAACGCCTGGACCGATTTTGATGATTCATACATCAATCGATTTGTCTCAAGTATGGAAGTGCTACATAAGATTATGATAGTAATCAAAATTCAATATGGGGAAAATTAGGCGCCATATTGTGACGAAGTAAAAAAAATAAGTTGACAAAATATGTCGAGTGGGGTATCATTGTCTAGATAATCGAAAATCATGTTTAGGTTCCTTACACCATTTTTCATTTTATATGATTGTTTAGGGTCTACGACGCTTTAAAGTTGTATATTAACCACTTACGCTTGTAATTTCAATCTTACGTTTGTATGGATCTTTGTTACTCTTTCACCTAAAAAATACTGAATGGATTTTAATGAAACTTAACAGTAATATAGCTCATATATGATAATAACATAAATATAATAATTTATGTAGTTATTGAGTGAATTGGCCAAAATATAACAATAAGTGTCACATAAGACGGAAAAAATCTCCCATATGCAAGTCACTGCACTGCAAAAACAATAAAAGTTACATGAATGTAATGTAGAGAGAAAATGTATCCCTTAAATAGTTCTACAAAAAAGTCGGTGACACCATATATCTATTTTTATTGTGTAAGCCATTACCGCTAAAATAGTGAATCAAAACTAAAATACTATTTGATATCTATTTCCAAAATGCACATTTTGTATTAACAAATTATTTTTATCGAAACAAATACTTTTATCGCTTTTGATATTTAAAGACGATAAACTTTGCTTTTGACACTATGTCATTTCGACAAATATTTAAAAAGTTACAACGATGACAAAGTGATAGCGCGGTGTACTATATAGGAGTAGACTGCGGGAATACTAAGAGAAGAAATTTAATTTTGGTGTTTATAAATGTAGATAAAACCTAGGCGAAAAAGAAAAAAATGGGCTACTCGCAGTATCTGATGCTATACGAAGTACTTACAATAAAACTGTGATACAGTTCCTTCCTATTTAATGATGAAAAATAAGTTATCATAGTAGGTATTTATGATTATTGAATTTTAATGAAAAACTCACAATTATACTGTTTTTTAACGATATTATTTAATGTTACAAATAAAGGGTTACTTAATATAATGACAAATAACCCATTTTTCGCTAGTAGGTACATACTTATTGGAATCCCTGTATTTATTTATCAGCTCGCGATAATATTGGTTTTGTAATTATAAACGATAATTCTGCAAAATTCAAAGTAAATAATATAGAGTGTTATAGGTAAATCACCCTACGCCTATAAGTATTGTGATGTTGTAGCTTCCAACCAATTTCCCATCTACATTCAAAGGGGAATTCATTATAATCGATTTAGCTATTAGGGCACTAAAGCGCACAAAACAAACTCACTTTCGCATCTATAATATTATATTATACTTACTAGTGATCTACGGGTGAAATTTATTTTATCGGGATAAAATATAGCCTATGTCAATCGGACAAAATGTATTTAAATAAAGAAAAATGTAATTGGGTCGTTCTTCTTTTCTACCAACAGTGAAATGACGTTTTTCTGTTTTTTTGGTTTTTGAACCATCCATAATTGTGGTTTCTGTGTGGGATTTAAAAAAAATTGCATCTGTGTTTTCATTAGGACTAATTAAAGTTTCCTTTCCGGCTAATATTGTTTCTTTTGTAATTTTGGTTTTTAAAATAATAATGTGATTAAGTGGCCTTTTTCTGTGGAGACCACATTTCGGTTTACCACTCTGTCACGGCAGTCTACGAAAAACAAACGTATAAAATATACTGGTTAGAGAAAATGAAAAATTACATAATATTAATAGATAAGAGAAATATGGACGTTTATTCGAACCAAATTAAAAAATCGTAAATATCAGTACTTTAACGAGATTCCATAATAAGACGAAGGACAGACCATTGTCGATAGAAAAGTAGAACGACCCAATTATAAATAATGTAGCTACCTTTATTTAAAACAGGTTCAGTAGTTTGACAGATTATTTGTTACAAACATTTAAGATTTAATTGATGAAAAAGATTTAAAAATAAAGTAAGTAATAGGTTTGTTTGATTATATTTGTAAAAGTTACTTAGAATTTGTGCTTAACAGTAGACTTGCAACGATTATTCGGTTACTATTCGGTATTCGGCTTATTCGGCTGCTTTTATTATATTCGGCCGAATACCGAATACTTAAAGAATATATTTTGTCATAGAGGAATAATTGGTAAAATGAAAAATTAAAATCGATAGATTACGTATAGGTATATTCGTATTTTCATTTCTGTTATATATAATCACTAGCTGACCCAGCGTACTTCGTATTGCTTACAATAATTTGGAAGAAATGATAAACGACGAACGTCAAATGTTTGACAGGAATATACACATAGCCATCTGTCGGATCCAATGTAAAACATTCCAAAATCAACAACTACTAATAAATTAAAAATTAATTAAAAAAACATTGTCCAGCGGACAAAATTGTGAATCTAAACCATTCTCAGATCCCCTTGAACACACACAAAAAATTTCATCAAAATCGGTCCAGTCGTTTAAGAGAAGTTCAGTGACATACACACTCACAGAAGAATTATATATATAAAGATTTAAGTAGTCATTGGTACATAACACAGGTACATAATTATCTTCTGAATTGGAAAAATGGAGGATTCTATGTATTTGAATTATTATGGTAATCAAAATTTAAAAGGGTAAGGTTCTCATTTCGTTTATAATCATTTATTAAGTAGTCATTGGTACATAAAACAGGTACATAATTTAATCATTATCTGTATTAAACAAGTTAAGATTTTTTCTATGCATTTGAATATTTTCATAATCAAAATTTAGAAGGGGAAGGTTATGGTGTAGAAAGACTAACTTTTCTGCATTTTTAGGAAGTAGTTTACTTCTTTTTTTTTCTCGTAGACCATCCCAGCTTCAGAGAAAAGGCGCTCTGAATAAACACTACTTCCTGGCGCCGACAAATATTTTGCTGCTATCTTAATCAAATACGGAAATTCAAATTTCCTTGCTGCCACCATGTATACGGGTTGTCATGACGTGATATATTACTAATATTTAAGAAAAGATCCATTTCTGTTGAAATTTCATTTGACTGAATTGCACTGCAAACAAAGGAGCGCGAAACAATCACGTCTGTACAAGTTTTTGGCGCTAAAATCCAGCCGAATATTCGGTATACTGCCGAATATACTATTCGTTGCAAGTCTACTTAACAGTGATATGTTATTCGGTATTTTTTTTTATACAAAATAAATATTTGGAAAATAATTGCCATGATTGCACTATTTGCAATACCTAACTAGGCTGGTAGCAGCACGCTTGATAGGTGGAAGAACTCTTCATTCGAGCTTTACACTACCAATAAAAAAGGGTCGATCACAAAGTCTTTGACCTGTTACTGGTGAACGCTTTAAAAGAAAACTACAAAGAGAACTATCAATTGATAATAAATGAGATTGCTATGGTGCTCTACCTAACGTTATAAAAAAATTATTATGCACCTTTAGTTTAATCAAATATTATAAACTTTGCTTTGGTGATTGCATAATTATTTAATTTAGCAATCTAAGGCAGTTGCCACCATTGTACAAAACAACAGACGGGAATTACTGCTTTCTTCAACCTGCAACATAAACGTCATTGATTGGTATTGTATATAGGGTGATTAGCAACATTTGAAGATAACTTCTGGCATCTACATATTTAGTTTCTGTGAATTATGTAGTTAAATCAAATTATGAGACTAGAATATGACACTGCATTTGTGTATATCACAATCTTAGAGCCGCACGTTGACATGACAATGCAGCCACTGCCAATTTTACATAGTCGACGAATAAAAGTAAATGAATTTTATATTTACTGCTAAACTATTAAAAAGAACATAAACAAAAAATGACTTTTTGAATAATAGCTAGTTTACTATAAAATTTACATACTTGTACATTAGATGTATAGGTAATGACTTGATTTAACTTTCACACATTTTTGCGAAAATTGAGGCCCATCTGTAGCCTTGACCCCGCTGGTAAAGTCTCTATATGTCTTAATAAATCAAACGTGTAGACCACCGCAAGGTACTTAATAATTCCCGCGATATTAATTCCCTTACTGAAGTAACAAGACTATGGTATATACCGTCTTAAAATACTAACTAACTAAAAAGTGTGAAATAAAAGAGGTAAATTTAAAAAATCAAAAAACCCGACTGCTTAATAATACTTCAAATAAAAACTGAAAAGAAAAAAACAAGTCCAGTAGTCTATAATTTTGTTAATAAGGAACAAAGTTACTTTAACATCGGTCGCGGGACCTATTATTGAAAAATATTATGTATTCTTGAATATCTAATGGGTCCCAACTGTTAAAGTAGCTTTGTTCCTTATTAACAAAATTATAGACTACTGGACTTGTTTTTTTCTTTTCAGTTTTTATTTGAAGTATTATTAAGCAGTCGGGTTTTTTGATTTTTAAAATTTTTATCATTTTATTATCTGCCTATTAATACTGCCCACTGCTAGGGCACAAGCCTTCCCACATGATAGAATTAGAATAGGGAGATTGGTCCATGACCCATCACGCAGGCCCAGTGCTAATTGTGTTAACGACTGCAGATGCAGTCGGAACCAACGGCTTAACGTGCTCTACGAAGCACGAAGGAGCTCAAGATAGTAAATTTTTAGTCACCCATCTAAGGACCGACCACTGTGAAAGTTGCTGAACTTCAACGATTGCAGCTGAACGCGTTAACCACTTGTGCTACCGAGCTCCTCACTTTGACAATGTTTATCATTACATGGTTCTTTACTATAATTTTAGAAAAATATTAGAGCTTTGAAGATCATCAGCTTTCTAATTTTTCCTATTTCAGAATACGTTCGAGACAGTCTACTAAGAATGAAAAAAGATTTTGGCTAATAGTACCTACATATTATAACATAAACAAAGCGCTCCTTTAGGGAATACTAAAACTTCTGTAAAGTGCCAACCTCCATCTAATATATAAAATTGTCGTGTCGCGGTGTTTGTGGTTAAACTCCTCCGAAACGGCTTTCCCGATTCTCATGAAATTTTGTGTGCATATTGGGTAGGTCTGAGAATCGGACAACATCTATTTTACATCCCCCTAAATGTTAAGGGTAATCCACCCCTAATTTTTTTTTTCAATTTTAGATATTTTTTTTTATTTTTTATTTTTTTATGATACATCATTGAAAAATACATACAACCCTAAATTTTCACCTTTGTACCACCAACCCCTATTTTTTTATGACGGTACAAAGTTCGCTGGGTCAACTAGTCTTATTTATAAAATTCTCGTGTCGCAGTGTTTGTGGTTAAACTCCTCCGAAACGGCTCGACCGATTTTCGTGAAATTTTATATGCATATTCAGTAAGTCTGAGAATCGGACAACATTTATTTTTCATCCCCCTAAATGTTAAGGTTAATCCACCCCTAAATTTTTTTTCAATTTTAGATATATTTTTTATATTTTTTTTTATGATACATCATACAAAAATAATTATAACTCAAAATTTTCGCCCTTCTACCACCAACCCCTATTTTTTTTATGGCGGTACGAAGTTCGCTGGGACAGCTAGTATCTATATAATATAGGTACTGTAAATCCTTTCATATACCTATAGTATATGCTTTCATTAATTAATTTATAATACTCAATACTTTTAGGCAATCACAGATGTGTAGGCAATGCACATGTTTGGTAAGAAATTTACTAAGAAATTTTAGGGAAAATACTGACCGTCATGGTAGACGGTCAGTATTTTCCCTAAAATTTCCCTAATTTAATCGCCAATAATTTGATGATTGCAACATGACGTATTGTTTTTAACAATGTTTAGATGCCCTGATTTTAAACCAGTTTAATTATAAGGTAAATACAAGTACCATACTAATAAAATATTATTAGATCATTTCATTCATAAATACAACTACATTTCAACTAAACGTGAGTCATTTCGGTTCTGTAATTTCTACTCCGATGGGAACATATAATGGGAAAATAACAAACACTTGTTTTACGTAAGAGGTTTTACAATTAATTACAATAATAGACCGCGGTTAAGCGATAATTATTACTTAATATTACATATAAAGCTTGGGTACAATCAACTGCACGTCGGGTTATACAAAACTGTTATAACAATTTTGTTTGTGACGCTTATTTACAAAATAAAGTTAAAAATTGATTGTCGACACTTTATTAGTTGTAGTAGGTACTATCAACCAATTTAATTCCTGATCCACTATTAATAAGCTTATTTTCTTACAACCATTGCCCAACATTAAGGTACACACATAGCAGTTTAAAAAAATCTAAAGAGTTTGTTACATTTACGATTTTAAAAGTGATTTCGAAATTCAAACTACTATTCCAATCTTATCGATAAGATGATCTATTTGTTTGAAAATAAAGGTCAAATTTCTTTATTATACAGTTTTCTTGTTATTAGAAGGTCCTAAGTGCTATAACGCTTTTCTATAGAACTTGTCTGTTTTGAAATTTTTAAGCGAATTATCGGCCAAGTGGGTCAGGAATCAATTTGTTCGATAGTGCTTTAAATTAGTAAAAAATGAAAATGGTTTTTATTTCCCAAAGAGTCAGAATACAGTACAAGTTGAGACAACCTAGAAAGTAATAATTAATACTTGTGTTGGGATTAAATAAATAAAGAAAATCCTAGGGGGCAACCAATAAAAAAAACAATGTTGTGACGATAATATAGGTACTCTTTTTAGAACTATAATTAGAATTTATTTATTTGCATTTGAATAGGGTACACTGGGGATCTTACAAATTTTGAAGTTCGACCCATTCAGCCATCTTAAATAGCATGCAAATATTTTACACTACATAACGAAACGTAATACATATTAATTAACATTGTGAAATCATTTTTCAATATCAATAACAATAAATTTAAATTCATCAAATTAATAATGAAATAACAAAAAGCTTCATTTTATAAAACATCATTCAAAATTAAATACATGGTTAAAAAATTCAAAAGTCAAATTAATAATCTCTAAGATTACAATGTTAATTATAAAGCACCATTAGGTAAAGAGAAGAACCATAATCATATATCATTAAAATGTCACTAGTTACAATCACTCAAATATTCTTTTACACTATAAAACATCTTATCGTGTAGCCATTTAAACAAAGCAGTCTTAAAATTTATAAAATGCAATGGTTTTATGTTTGTTGGTACCTTATTATAGATCTGTATACACATCCAATAACAATTCTTTTTAAACCGCATGCTCTTTGGAATTATCACAGAGACTAGTCTATTGCCATTGCGTGTATTTCGAGGGTACACATCTTCAGCTTGTTTAAAATGATGCATATTTTTCTTTACAAATTTGGCAACATCAAAAATGTAAAGACAAGGCAATGGTAAGATTTTTAAGTGTTTAAACAGCGGTCTGCACGGTTCGTCAGGTGCAGTTCTACATATAGCTCTTACACATTTTTTTTTGCACTATAAAAGCCTTATTGGCTTCTATATTACCTCCCCATACAATTAATCCATATCTCAGGACTGATTGGACATATGCAAAGTATGCTGTAAGAGCAGTATTTCTTGTAGCTATTTTTGTCAATTTATAAAGTGCAAATGTAAACGATTAATTTTATTGCATATAGATTCTATATGTGTTTTCCAGTCCAACTTTTGGTCAATTTCTATGCCGAGGAAATTGGTTGTGTTCGGGTTTTTTAGTGTTTGCCCTTTGTAGTTAATATTTAATGATTTACCAATGGAACTATTAAAATTCATGAAACAAGTTTTTTTATGTTTATAGTCAGATTATTCTGCTGAAGCCAATTTTCAATTGATCTAATTGTATTTTCTACATCATTTTTGTGGTCTTCTAATGCCATTTTATTATCCGTTGTTATTACAACTGATATATCATCAGCAAAAAGAATACAACGATGTTCAGTCACGTCTGACAACTTGTTAGTATATACCAAGTAAAAGTCCTTAAATAATATTGGTACTCTTTTTAGTCCTATATAAAAATCCTCGAACTAGTGATGTGTCTTAAAATGATCGATATTTTTATTAATCATTAAAAATAACTGTTTTTATAAAAAGTTAAAATTTCATGCAAATATTTTAAGAAAATTAGAGAAGACTCCTTATATGATGTACTTCAACGCCCTTTAAGCTTTATTTGTATTTTTGTAACACCCTGTATATTTATTACGCATAATTTTAAAGGTTAAATAAAAGGTTACATACGTGTTATACGTGAAATGTCATCTGTGGGAAACTTTTTATACCCAAGATTATATTTGTTGTGATGAACGCGATGAGTTTTTAAACTAAGTAGGTAACATTTATCTTATCACCCTGGATTTAATAAAATTGTTTCAACTTTATGTAAGAACTAAGTGAATACATTTTAGGTACGTCTACATTTTCTGCGAAAAAGCAGAACGCAACGACAAAGGTGGCTGGGACTATGAGGTGAAACCGTACAAGCCGCCGAGCTATTTGCTCCAAGACATCGCACTACGTCTTACAAATTCAAACACTACACCTTGGAACGTATACATCGAAGAAGGTAAAACATTTTTTTTATATAAGCCTAACAAATATCCATCACCCCAACTGATTAAATGTATGAGTTATGTGAAAAAAATTGCTAATTAAATATTTGCTAATTACAACGTAACTTCAGTTAAATATTTTTTTAAAACTATAAAAGATAGCCCGTGGCTTTTAATCGAGCTCCCCTTTGTCATAATACCAAAATGAATTGAATTCTGTAAAGACGTAAAAATCTGCAAATTTTAGAAATGATATTGAAGCAAAACTCTAACAAAGGCCGCTAACATAGTTCCAATACAACTAAACTTCAATACTAACCCGACACGCACATAAACAAAACAAAATAGCCGAATCTAATCTCTGCAAATGAGATGTTTTCTTTTTACTTCCCCTTTTCAGTCTTTTATACCACTTAACCTCACAGGGGATCATTCTTCTCCTTTAAAACGGGGTTTTTCTTGGATTTCACTCATAAATGATACGAGCCTCTGTCACTGAGTGCGGCGACAGACAGGTGGCCTGTTTATCCCACATTTTTCGCCCCACCCACTTGATTGCGATCAAGTGGGTGGAGCGAAAAATGTGGGTTTACGCGGAATTACTTTTTAGCCCAGTTTGTGATCCAAGTAATTTGTAATTCGTTGGTGAAAATTTATAGTAGAGTTCTTGCCTTAGAGAAATCTTGTCAATTCTGATGTACTTACCTAAGTATATTTTTTGTCTTCTTTATTTTTATATTTTCTATTTATAACAAAAGCAATATATTGGCTAAGTAGGTATACATAATATAATATGTTAGTAATTTTAACCACGCCACACACCAAATTTTCATAATGATGTGCAGTGAGGTGTTATTGAGGTAGAAGTTACGTATTGAACTGGTGATATTTTCAATCCCTTTGTTCTGCTTTGAAATCCCATAACGTGTAACTAAGTAGGTTTGGGTGTTTAACACTGATTGAACTGACTCATAAAAAAATACTGTAATTTATGCTGACGTGTTTTCGATTGTTAAAACCGCATGGAATGGCCGTTGTTACGCATAATACAGCCATAATAGGGCACCAACTATAGAAGCACATGGATAACAAACCCACAGTCTTAACTCTGGATAATACATATGTCTATAATTCTAAGAAACGATTTTTAGAGTCCCTACATGTTGATAGTCATGAAAACCGTTCCTTATATAACAAAATGTCTATCGACAATTATTTACTATGGCAAGTTTTTCAAAATACGCTGCATATTAAAATTATAAATGAATAAAAATCGTTCAATACAGTATAATGCGATTCAACTAAGAATAGGACCGACTGGGCGCCATATTGTGATGTGATAGTTGTCAATTCAAACCAAATACGTAGTGAGCAAAAAAAGTTTTTATTCAATAAAACTTATTTACTAAGATTAAGTGAGAAAAATCATCACATTTTTTCAATAACATTTACTTACTAAGATTGAGAGAAAAAAAACACCGATTTTTAATAATATATATTTATTAAGACAGAAAAAACATTAATCAGAATCTAGCTCATCTATTCCGCTCATCTCTGCATTACCGCCGGAGTAGTTATGAATAATAATGCACTATTACTAGGTCACATACGAACATGCATCCTTTATGTAAACGAAAGTTTGAAATTAAGTTTCTGAGCACAACTTAAAGTGACATTTGGTTGACGGTTAAGGTTATCAACCTTTCATGGCCAAACCTCAATAAGTGAAAAAAAAATATCAACCGATATTAATTATCAATATTTGTTATTGTTTGTTTACAAATGTTTGGTTTTTATTCTTGAATTAGCGGAGTGCTAAAAAAGGGTTCGAAGTTTTTTTTTTGCAAACCGTACTTTTCAAGCGACATTTGACAGATAGAGGTCATTGGCTTTCCTATTCTTATTTGAATCGTATTATGTACAGCATTGTCTCATTGTAGTCATCATAATTGAAACACGATCGTTTGACTAACTTTAAGGAATGGAATGGTAATTACACCCAAAATTTTGTGATTAACATGAGACTAAGAAATCCACAATATCAGCTCTGAATAATCTTACTAATATTATAAATGAGAAAGTTTGTATGTTTGTTACTCAATCACATAAAAGCTACAGAACGGGTTTGGATGAAATTTTGTACTCATAGAGTTTATGATGTAGATTGAGACATGGATACTTTTTAGCCCGGAAAAGTGTTAAGTTTCTTAGGGATTTTCAAAAAACTAAATTTAAAACAGACGAAGTCGCGGGCGGCCGCTAGTATTTTATATTTTCTAAAAACGCTTTTCCAGCTGTGGATGGGCTCATTAATGTGGCACAATTCAATAATTACCTAATACACTTTTCATATAAAAACAAATGATAAATGAATTAAAGTACCTGGAATAAATTCATTACGTATTATTATATTAAAATCTCATTATACTTACTCATCGCCATTGAAAAGTCCCAATATATAAAAGGACAATGGGCAAAACGCACCCACCTCCGCCAACAATGTAATTAGTATGAATCGATAGATCTATGGAAAACTAGCCTTTTTTATTATGACACCGAAAATAAATAACCTTGGAGTCAAAAGATATGACACCGTAAAAAATATCCTGGTAGTCAATAGATATGACACATGGGCATATTTAAGTAGCTAAATAAATTCATTTTATAATACCTTCATTTTATATTATTAGTAATCATAATAATATGCCATGTCGTACTATACAACCAGATATACAACAAAGCCTGCCGACCATCCTGCGCTTGCTCTTACTGAACATTTCAAAACGGTTTACGAATGCTGAAGGACTTGCAGTTGCAAATAGTCGACTCGTCTTACTTCGTTGTGATTGTGCGCTCCCTGCTACTTGATTAATATTTATCTAACAACACGCTTTGGATGTTGAAACACGATTATGGATTTTGTCAATTAGTATGGATAAACTGGAATTATGTGTTCTCCGAAGCGAGGACAAGTTTGCGTAATCTGGGGTGGCTCCGTTTTACATAGAAGACAATTTATTATAACGAACAGAATGTTTAAAAAAACCCAACCCATGCGGGGATTTTTGGATTAACTCTAGCGCGGCAGAATAACATAAGGGGGCACCCTTGCACCATATGAAGTACTCCCATAATTCCTGAGCACCCTATGTAGGGTCGAACTAACTTCCTGAATTAATTCCCTTGTTTCATTAATGTTCGTTCGTTATAGTACTTCTACATATTTAACTTAAAATAACTAAAGACCCCCGGGATGGAATTTGATGCGCTTTGGCAGAGATGATCTTGACTATAATACCTTTCAAACAAATGTAGTTTAAGTCGTGGCGGACGTGGGTGCAGCGTCCATACATTTTTGCCCAATGTCCTTTGTGAAACTAGGTACTCTACAGCCTTTTGAGTGTAATCTAAAAAGCAGAGAGAGATTTATGTATAGCCTGTTTGTAAATACTCTCCACGTTACAACAAACTGCGACCAAAACCACATACAAATAAGGTAACGTAGTAGTTTTTGTATGTAAAATTGCAACTGCACAGGCTTCCTTGTCTATGGTCGATGCTCAAGAGTTAGTTGCCGAGAGAGAAGTTTGCCGGGGTGTAGGTATACCTATTCCGAGAGTAAGTGAGCTTCACAAGGAAGATGATATGATCAAGCTGGCAAAGCGAGCATGACTGATGCAGCACTTATCTCTTAAAATAAGATATGTGGCGTCATCTGTTCTTTTCTTTAAGTCAACTTTAGCTTAGGCCAGGACTTCGCCGGTTTTCCTGAGCCCGTCCTTTATAATGAGAGTTCTAGATAATCTTACAAGATCTATATTTCGTCACAAGTTACAATACGATTCAAAATTGCTTTTTTGTTATGAAGGTTGAGTGTGCTTGTCTCGATTCGTTTTACCCATTTTTCGAGCTTTGTCACTCATCCTATTTGTTTCAAGAGAATTAAAAATCGCTCACACTGAATCCCACTTTTTGCCCGACCTTATCTATCGCTGTATGTTTCATGGGTTGCAAGTACAACCCGGTTTGTAATCGGCTACTTGTAGGTATAATAATAATAATAAATAATTATAATATAATTAATTATTATATTATAGTATAATTCTATTGCCTTGGGTATATACCTGTAATAATAGATATAAGTATTTGATATAAATAAATAAATAAATAAATAATGGTTTATTTATCTTAAAAAAGACAATTGCTCTTATATACTAGTATGTACTAACATTATTAGTTATTGCAAAATTAATTAAGGTTCTTAATGATGTCAGTAATGATTTGGGACGACTTGGCGATTAGTGGTGATGATTCTTTACCCTTATTTGGTCGACAAAAAGCTGCTCTATGTGAAAGGGAACACCGTATAGCAGGTTTTTATATAAAATTTTGACTTTGTTATACTCTAACGGCTAGTTTCATTAATCAGCCCCTTTTACTGGAGTTTGATTATTAGAACTGGCCGTAAATCGTTATCAATTCCCATTTTCCACGGGCTACTGAGCAATAGTGAGTAATTAATTACTTCCAAATAATATTTTTTAAATAATAACTGTTATTCTATAAAATTACCTGCACGTGTGGGATATGTTTATATATATAATATATACATCGCTGTTATATTATTATATTGTTCTGTTAAATGACCTTCCACTATGGCGTGGAATATGTTTAGCTATACTTATTTTTGTATTTTACTAGTGGGTTCCTGCGCGTTCGTCTGCGTGGAAAAATTGGTTTGCCATACAAACTTCCCAACCCCGCCCTTTTACCCCTTTAAAGGGTGATTTCTAGGATCCTTTATCCTTTCCCGGGACTTAAGAGCTTTGAGAGCGAGCGAACCATTTAGCGGTTTAAGAATGAAGAGGTAATAGACAGAGAGACAATATAATCCATCCAGACTTCGCATTTATAATATTAGTATGGATCTATAATAATAATAATAATAATAAATATTTCCAACGCTCACACCAATTAGCCTAGCCCCAAAGTAAGCACTGTAAGGCTTGTCCTATGGGATGCTAGGGTAACGCATAGAATACAATATACTGATACATATAAAAGAACATACTTTTATTTAGACATATATATATAAACATCCATGACTAATCCATGAATACTAAAACCTGTACCCGTTTTAGTATTCATCATACTAACATTTGCCCCCACCGGGATCAAACCCGGTTCCTCTGAGTAGGCGACACCATGAATCCCGGTGTATATGTCGTGGCCATATCATAGATTTGCTCATTTCATGAACTGCTCGAGTATTTCATGAAATGGTCGCATTTCATGATGTGGCCAACTTAATTTGAGCAGATCATTAAATCGTCAACGTTTAACGATTTTGTCATCCACATTTGGCCGGATCGTATAATTAGGGTGTCCATAAAATATTTAATAAAAATCCAGAATATGTTAAAAACTTGTTTATTGTCATTTGAGTCCGAATGACACAAACAAATTGAATCATATTTTTTAAGAAAATACACAAATCAAAGATTTTTTTTTAAATTAAACATCCACGTGTCATGTAGTTACACAAATGTAAACGTCATTTACATTTAGAAAACTAACAAATATTTGGAAATAAAAAGGTACTTTGGTACATATTGCAATAGTAGGCTTGATTCTCATCCGTACTTTTTACTTCATCCGCAGTTTCCAAAATGTCATATTTTGGCAGCCAGTAATAGTCCATGGATTTCTTTTGCGTAGTCACCCTACTCTCCTTCATTAATTTGTTTCATAACCTAAAAAAGAAAAAACATTACCTTTATTATGTCATAATTCACAAACGAAGAATAATATTAATTTAATAGAAACACAATACGTTAACTGGCATAAAGTATTTTAATAAAATAAGTGAATAATGATGTAATTTAAGAGTAAAGTACTAACCTGTGTAATGCGATCCAACCCACGGTTTTTTTACATTTTACTCAGTTTTTGCTTAACTTGATTAGTACTCGAGAACCTTTTCGTCGAAAACCCTTTTGTTATCACTTTCTTCCTCATTTAATAACAAATTATGCACTTTATCACTACGAGAAACAACATTGTCGGCAGCGGCCGCCATTTACAAATATAAACAAAGCGCTTGCAGCGCCTCTACCGGTAACTAATTTAACAACTTTACGATATGATCAAATAATTTTGGCCATTTCATGAAGAAGCCGCGCGTTTAATTGGCCATATCGTGAAACGATTTCTCATCATTGATCTGCCCAAACCACATCATGATGTGGCCAATAGATAGTGAGACATTTCATGAAATGCGACCATTTCATGAAATACTCGAGCATTTCATGAAATGAGCAAATCTACGATATGGCCACGACATATATACTACTCGGCCACTGAAGTCTTCTATGGGCTCAATCTGTATTTTTTACTCTCAACTAAGCCTTGTTTTCCTTCTTATATCTTTTCAGGTTTACAGCGTTTGTTCGGCGTGCCCGGCCGCTGGGAAGCACCCGAAGGCGTCACCGATCGGTTGACGGTGGATGTGGGCGAAGGCGCGTTCATAGAGGTGTCGCATCCCGTACCGCAAGGCGACCAGGTGTAAGTCACCTTACTTGTTCAATGAAAAGGGAAATCCCCAGGCCCCGAGTATTGGTGTAGCTGTTGCTAACGTCACACTTTAAATGTTTGTTAGTGTTTGTGTTATGTTGTAAGTGTGGTCAACGTAATATTACGATCCTGACAGGTCTTGTCAAATTCTTTTTATGTTTGAAAGAATATACCGTAAGTGAGGGTTACTTTAGCTCGGGCGGGTAACTTTGTCCCAAATCAGAAAAAAAATTGAACTCGCCGCCACGTCAGTATCTCTTGGGAGACCGTAATAGTTCCAGTTAAAAATCACAGATAGCCAGATAGGCGCGTAGTGTGTTGTTGTTTTACCGACATCGTTCCTGTATTAACTTGTCGTTGTAACGCGGGATTTTTTGTAACTGAAATAGTTCGCAAGTTCATGCGCAAACTTTCTCGTAAAACTGAGGTTTTCGGTAAGTTTACTATTTTTTCTAAATTTAACGTTATTGAACATGTTCATGGGAGTACGTTGATGATAAATTCAAAAGGTTTTACACAAATTTACATGTTTATATTTAGGGAAAGATACGGAGGTATTCTTTAGCCCATGAAAACAAGAAAACAGACGAAAAAGAAACCAACACGTACCCTATCTTCGTCAACAAGCGGCACTGAAGAAAAATAATTGTTCTGATATAATTTTATTATGCTACTTCATACTTCCTGTAGTTAAGTCAATTTAATTACTTACCAAAGTATAAATATCTTATGTAGCTTTACTTAAGAAATTCAGAATTTGTCAATATTTCGTTTCAGTTTTGAATAATAAAAATAAATTAGTTTATTTTTTTTAATTTACCTTAATTATTTTTGGGCAAAAACATCCATTTGTGTATTCAGTATGCTAATGGTGACCTGTTATAAGGGTTACTTAACACCGACATGGCTTAGAATGAGTTTTTTCACAGAGAAAACTCATCGAGCTAAAGTAACACTCTTCTAAGGCCAGCTTTGGCCCAAAATTAAAAAATATATATTAACCCTTAAACATCAAAATCCTTTCTTAGCGGATGCCTACGTAATAACATCTATCGGCACAGGCGCGGTCGCAGCCTGAAATTTTGGAGGGGGTCACTCACTATACTAATAAAAAAAAACCCGGCCAAGTGCGAGTCGCACCGAGGGTTCCGTACACACCTGAATTTTCAAAAATATTTTTTTTATATGATGCAACTAAAAATTTGCGGTTTTCGTACTTTGTACCAAATTTCAAGATTCTAAGTTCACGGGAAGTACCCTGTAGGTTTTGATTCCCGTACGAGTTTCGAAAATTTGCTGCATAAACGGCTGTATCTTTTGATTGTTTTGGCTTAGAAGTTTGATTTTTTCACAGCTCCAAGGGACAGTAGACCTGAGTATTAGATATGAATTACGGTTTGATATCTCCACGCGTTCCTGAGAAAAACGGTCTTGACAGACGAACGGACGGACAACGAAGTGGTCCTATAAGGGTTCCGTTTTTTCCTTTTAAGTACGGAACCCAAAAATAGGTATCTGGAATAAAATAAACATTATTGCACAAGGCACAAATTTATTTTATACAATTATAAAACAAATGGAAGTCGTCTTTTTGTATTTGCGAATCGGGTGATAATATTTGAGACGTCTGGTACTATTTCCGGGTGAATGTTTAGAAGAGCTAAATCTGTTAATCGTTCTTCTAAGATGTCAGCTCTCAACCACGTTTTTAACTAAGTAGCCTTTATCTTGAATCTTTACAATAAACCGACAAATTACATTATTAGAATATTGTTATACAATATTTATCATAACGACGCATATCGATTTTGCTAGGATTACCAAAACTACGTAGTTCGGTTTCTTGTTTCTAAACTAGTACTAGATGTAATTTCCAAGTTATTTTGGCCATCATACATAGTTCATAAAAACACCACTAGATGTCAGCAAACTATAAATTTACCGCTGTTAGGAGATAGCTAGAAATTTCCTTTTATTATTTGGCAAATTTTTGAGATTTTTCAATTTGACCTTAGATTTGGGGGGGTCATGTCCTCTGTGCTCGTTTAGTTCATTCTATATGTCTATAGTCCCACTCAGTATGGTTTGTTGGATGTTTCGCGATAGTGATCGCGGCAACGGGCGGCGCGTCCACTGCGCGCCGGTGGCTGGTGGGCGGGCGGTAGCGGCGGGCGCGGGCGACACGCGCGCTGCCTTCGCCGCGCACGCGCGCGCGCTCGCATACGACTGCGAGCTGGACGCCGTACTCGACAGCGTGGTGGGCAACAGGAAGGACTGCTTCATATCCGTGCGAGGTGAGGCCGGCCGCGCTGTCTCAGGGAGGTGCCATACGGGCGGGCGCCGGCGACACGCGCGCTGCCTTCGCCGCGCACGCGCACGCGTCGCATACGATTGCGAGCTGGACGCCGTACTGGACAGCGTGGTGGGCAACAGGAAGGACTGCTTCATATCCGTGCGAGGTGAGGCCGGCCGCGCTGTCTCAGGGAGGTGCCATACGGGCGGGCGCCGGCGACACACGCGCTGCCTTCGCCGCGCATGCGCACGCATACGATTGCGAGCTGGACGCCGTCCTCGACAGCGTGGTGGGCAACAGGAAGGACTGCTTCATATCCGTGCAAGGTGAGGCCGGCCGCGCTGTCTCAGGGAGGTGCCATACGGGCGGGCGCCGGCGACACGCGCGCTGCCTTCGCCGCGCACGCGCACGCGCTCGCATACGATTGCGAGCTGGACGCCGTACTCGACAGCGTGGTGGGCAACAGGAAGGACTGCTTCATATCCGTGCGAGGTGAGGCCGGCCGCGCTGTCTCAGGGCGGTGCCATACGGGCGGGCGCCGGCGACACGCGCGCTGCCTTCGCCGCGCACGCGCTCGCATACGATTGCGAGCTGGACGCCGTACTCGACAGCGTGGTGGGCAACAGGAAGGACTGCTTCATATCCGTGCGAGGTGAGGCCGGCCGCGCTGTCTCAGGGCGGTGCCATACGGGCGGGCGCCGGCGACACGCGCGCTGCCTTCGCCGCGCACGCGCACGCGCTCGCATACGATTACGAGCTGGACGCCGTACTCGACAGCGTGGTGGGCAACAGGAAGAACTGCTTCATATCCGTGCGAGGTGAGGCCGGGCGCGCAGTCTTAGGGAGGTGCCATACGGGCGGGCGATGGCGGCGGGCGCGGGAGACACGCGCGCTGCCTTCGCCGCGCTCGACAGCGTGGTGGGCAACAGGAAGGACTGCTTCATATCCGTGCGAGGTGAGGCCGGCCGCGCTGTCTCAGGGTGGTGCCATACGGGCGGGCGGTGGCGGCGGGCGCAGGCGACACGCGCGCTGCCTTCGCCGCGCTCGACAGCGTGGTGGGCAACAGGAAGGACTGCTTCATATCCGTGCGAGGTGAGGCCGGCCGCGCTGTCTCAGGGAGGTGCCTTAAGTGATGACAACATAATCACCCCAAAATTACACACGTCGTCAAATTGAAAATTATTCTGTCCCTAGCCATACACTCATCGAAGTTTGCGACAATGTTTGATATCTATCCAAATATGATAGCCATATGTGTACCCAAATATAAATAATGCTGAAAAATGCGACGTGGTGCGACATCAGAGATCAAATATTTACTGCTGCAACCGCGCCTGGCTGTGGACACCTTGAGGGGGGCGCAATAACTTAATCAGTCAGTCGTTGGCAGTCCAAAGCGATGAATAGTTCTGACGTCCACTTTCCAACGCACAATGAGGCGGGCCGCATCGCAACGCGTAATATCACAAAATACATTTGAGCTGTGATCTACCATCACCCCCCAGTGCAGATTGGTTTTGGCACACACTTAAAATGCAATCAGCAGCGTGCAAGAGAAGTTGAAGCTAATAAATTGTGGTAGTGAGCAGCCCATCTGATAATCGGTGATTGCGAAAGTTTCTTTGCTATAGCAGTTTCTATTATTACTAATATCATGTGCAGAAGTGCAATTCAAACTTGTCCACTCGTTCAACCTTATATTTACCACTCCCGCAGAAAAGATTTAACACTAAAAACAAAGGAAAACATTTAAATTAGGATTATTTTGAACTCCATAGGCATATCTGACTACCGTGACGGCACTCGTGGCAAAGAATGGCAGCCGCACGCGTCTCTAGCTGCCGCCGCTGTAATGAAAGCTATCATATCTGCTATGGAACCGCCTACTGATTAAACTAAATTAACGTGTAATTACGTCGCGTTGTGGGCCAATTCTGACATGATACTCTAAATTTAAAAGTAATTGTCTTTCTGTTTACGCAATAGCCTCCATTCAAAAATATACTTAACATGTCCTTTAATAACAGTACTTTTCATTCTTAAAATAACACGATCAGGTATTCTATTGTTAAATTTTGACTTAAATTTAGAAAATCGTGCCCGAATTAGATCTTGATTCAAACTTAATGGCGACTATGAAGTTAGCGCAAGGCACGGCACAGTAAATGCAATGTAGAATAATGTTGGTGCATATAGGGGGCATTCGCATTATTTTTAAGATTTACAAGTCTCTAGAAAGAAAAAAGCAATGGTGCAGCCTATCTATACGCACTATGTATTGGCTGCACCAACGCTTCGTATATGTCACACTTATCTGCTCGGTTTTCATTTACAATTGTATAACAAAGCTCAACCCATTTTTTTTAATTCGCATAGTTGCCAACGTTGCTAACTTCACAGCTGCTATAAAGCTTGAATCCCACTTCCCACAGTTAGCTCGTCAGAATAATCTAAAAAAGAAACTAACAAAATTCTGTCAATCGAATTTCCACCTTTAAGTGGTTAGTCCCAAAGTTCAAAGTAGATTGCAGAATTTCTAACGTATTTTGGATTAGCCTGACGTACTAATTGTTAATACATTACATTTTGTATGTACAACTAGGGCTGTCAAAACAATATCTACTTATTAAAAGCGATACCAAATAAGATTTTGAAACAAAAATAAAAACAGACAATAACCATAATGATGCTAATGTAATGTTTTGTTATGTTAGTTACATATAACAAAATTAGAGATTTACATGTATTTTCATAAGTACGAAGCGATAAGTCTAATGCGCAAGCTAAGCACAGGTACTTAGCTAACGCGTCGATGTATTTAAACGTAGATTTAATGAAGTACTACATACTTTGATCGTTCAAATCATTCCAAATTAAAGTTAATGGAGCGTTTTCCTCGAATGTGTACGTGTTATCGCAAATAATTCTGTAGTTCTTATTATAATGACAGCCCTAAATTACCTTATCTGCCTTATTTATTTATAAGTATTTAGAATATATTTATTAATATGTTTTACAGATTATTGTATCGAGTGCTTGTACTTGAAATTATATACTGGCGAATGGTTGTTTTGAACCAAATATGATATATCCCCCACACACATACAAAGTAGAAAAACTGCCATATGTTTTAGATGTATCTTCCATAGAATATTTATATACATCACTATGTTCAATGACAAACGGTCACAAAATAATATATTATATTGACTCGAAAGTAGTTATAGAATTACTTAAAAAGTAATTGATTCACAGGTTAACTTGCCTTATAAATTAATGGCTGTTAATATTAACTATAGAAATTGTTTTATCATCAAATAATTATTTACACCAATTAGTGGTAATTAAATTATCCCTTTTAATAAAACGAACTTGTTGTTATTGGTGTCTATTTTGGCAAGATTCTCCTAACTTAAACATAAATTTGACAAAAATGTATCCTTGTCATTTTCTATACAGAGTGAAAAGGAGACTGAGGAAATTAGTTTTAAGTTTTAGAGAATCATGCAAGAATCGACACCATTATATTTCAAAACCGATATGATAACTGATCAACTTGTGTCAAAACAAGTCTTCCTCATTGGATCTTAAATATTTATAATACTAACTAAAATGACGGGGATTAAAACATCAATAATACACTTAAATTAAAATAAAGGAAGATACGGTACTCGCGGCTCCAAAGTGTACCGCTTAAATTGTGGTGCATGAACACAATTCACTTTAGTCCCAATTTATTTGACATCCAAACACGTTGTATGTGCACTCATTAGGTATAACAATATTGCGTATATTCTGTGTTATAAAGATACAACAATGCCTCCGATGCTTTTAAAAAGAACAAAAATAGATCAAGATCAAATTACAAATTCCATGGCAATACTTTTCATTTGAAAAACTATAATAACATTTTTTTCTCAAAAATCACGGGTTGCAATGAATGTTATTTACTTATTCGCCATTTGGTATCAAGAAAAGAAGTTGTTGAAGCGTACAGTTCTGTCTCGCTCGCTCGATAAAATGTTTATTTACAGAAGTGTGCGTGTGTGAGAGTTGCTGGTGTAGTTGAGCCGGAGGATATTATAGATGCTAGTAAAAACGTACCGTATCTTTCCTTTTTGTAAGAATATACATAATAGCTTCCTTTCTCATTTATTTTTATTCTAAGGACATTCCTTATTATGATTTAGGTTTAATAGACATCACGAGTGTATTATTAGCTTATTAACATTAATTGAATTGCTATTTTAGTGCTTGCCAGAATTGCAACATATTGTAAGTTCGTTTTACCATTATGTAGAAGCAAACTAGTGTTTTAAATCATGCACGAGATTTTAGAATACTTATTATTATACTTAAGTAACACCGTTTTTTACCTTAGACTTAAACTTTAATCTGGCTTAAAGGTGCTATTCCGATCATGGCCTAAGTAAAGGCTCGGTAAGTAACAGGCTGCACGATTGGTTTATATTGTATTTGTATGAAATACATTCCAAACCCGGCTTCAGCTGCACGTGCAGCCGGGCATCAGCTAAAAGTGAATCTGCGACCTGCAGTCGTCGACGGCTGCAGACCAGTAGTGCAGCGGCTGCACTTAGTACGCTAGAATTTATTTGCTTACTCAGTGGTTATTATTACTCATTCCTCTTATCAGCTAAAAGATGCCCTGATGAGGTGGTAGACAAAATATTGAACGATTCAAAAGAGCTTTCAATAAGTCAAATTAAACAAAGTATAATTTCATTTCATTTAATAAAAAAAATAAAAAATTGTCCACACATCTGGAGTGAAACTTTTTTTCCTAAATAACCTAAAGCGGTCTACACACCAAAGCCGCTGACCCGGCGGCACGGATCGCCGGCCCAACCGCCGCCGGCTTGCGCCCGCGCGGGCAAGCCGGCGGGGCAGCATACCGATGCCGACGGCATCCCTCTCCACTCACTCAGTCAGTTGCCACAGGGATCAGTCAGGGATCCACCGATAATAACTCCACAAACTGCTATTATTAAATCACTGTTATCGTCCTCCTCCATGTCAATCTGAAAATACTACTTCTGAATTATTCGAAACACACACGTCCAATCTCTACGACTATTTGGCAATTACTAGAACACCACATGCCGCGGCTGTCGTGCCGCCGGCAAAGTCGTTCGGCTTGGACATTCTGAAGCCGCCAGGTTAACCCGCCGGCACTAAGCCGCCGGGCTGTGCCGCCGGGTCAGCGGCTTTGTTGTGTAGACCGCTTTACGTTAGGCGGTGCATAAGGCATAGGGGAATGGAGCAGCGCACGCATCACTGATATACATATTATCGCGTGTACGAGTGTCTCGTAGTGTTTCAACCTTCGCCGAGTTACTCTCCAACTTTCATGCTCGTCGGGAAGATCTGCGCACGCTTCCCACACACACACACACACACATATAAATATATGATATATTTTAGTCGCGTGACGCTTGTCCGTTTCATCTTTTCCATTTACACCCCGTCCGAAAAGAAGTTTCACTTCTTTAATAAATATTCTTGAAATATAGGAAGCGATTAGCCCGCGCCTGGTGCCACTAATACCGTAGCACTTGCAGCTGCGTCGGAATCAATACCAACAGCTGCAGGCTGCATATGATATGCTCGCTGCAAGTGCAGCCTGCAACCAAGATCGGAATAGCACCTTAAAATAGTTCTTTGATTTGCCAAATATGACAATGACCAAAATCTTATTAAGAAATGGCCTAAAATAATTGTTCTGTTTCACATTTGATATAATCAAGTCTATGATAAACTATCACTGCCATAAATGGCCTATTTATTGTTAGTTTAATATGACAACTGTTGTGAAGTGTTATAAAAACCAAAGTTTAGACTGTTGGCTGTTTTTTGAACACCAAGTCTAGTCGCCAGGATTGTGAATTTGTTATAACTATTTATGTATCAAGCATATTATTATTTTTTTAGGAACCACTGATGTTGTATTTTCACATAGTTTTATCTCAAATATTAGATCTTCCGTTATTAATTGCATGTATTCTAATAAATGTCACATCTTTTTAAGTTAATAAAATGGAGCTGTTGATTTTACCCTTTTAATTGTTAGATACTATTAGCAATAACTGTTATTTAATATAGCTATAATTTATTGTATGTATATCTGAATTATTCCATAGTAATGGCTTTCTTTTTTGTTTTAATGCACAAATAAAATTATACACAAGAAATTCCTGTTTCAATTTAAATCCTAACTATCCTCCACACAAAAATACATTAAAAAGTAGTTTGTAGAGCACAGAAGTTTCCCACTGATTGGTACACCGTTATATATGTATAACCCAAAACATGGCGTAACTTTGCATAATCATGGTCTATTTAGCATTTTGTTGAAAGTGATCAAAATCAAGTTTTGTAATTTAATGAACATAAGTACAAACAGAGCAAGCTAAATAAATTAAACCCTTTAAAAACATGTGATTTACCACTCGGAGCTTATTTGGATATAAATCCAAACTAGCGACCGCCCGTGAGTACGTCCGCGTTAACTGTAGTTTTTTGTGAATCCCTCAGGAACGTAATATTTTTCGGTTTAAAAAGTAGGTATTCTATGCCTTGATCCAGGTAATAAACTATATGGGTGCCAAATTGCATGCAAATCCGGCCAGCCCTCTTTTTCGTGATCGAGCAAGAAACATTCACATTCATAATATTAGTAGGAATAACGGTATTTAGCTTTCGAGTATATGTCCATCTGGGGGAGTTCCGCCACACTTTGCTGAAGAGTGCTGTGGAATAACATTATCCTGTAGTGATATGCCGTAAAACGCTGCAACTTTGCCAAAAATGTCCAACTTTGCCTAATTCATTTAAAATACGATATTTCACGTTTGCCAACTATTTTCTTGTTGTCTACTATTTGGTAGTATCTATTGGTTATTAGGGCAACATATTTTTCATTTTTTATAATGGTAACTCCAATTATATTCTGTCAGTTAGACGACAAAAACCGGTGCGTGTGGATGATTTTTTTTGGTGTTGCGAACTTTTTATATTATAACTGCAAAAAAAGTGTTGTGTTGATAAAATAACATTCTAAGGTAAGCAAATACTGTGTATTATCTGTATTGCTTAAGATTGTTGTTAAAACTACACGATTTCATCAAAATAATCGAATAGGCAATGTTGTGCTCTGTTTTGTTAACTTGAGTGACACAACTTTGCCTAGGTCTAGGGTTGTCACTTATTTAATTTTTCTACGATGGTCATTTGATTAATTATATATTACAATATAATTTGATTCAGTACTTTTCTCTAATTTGCTTATCTGACATTAAAACAGGATACGAAAAATATATATAAATATAAATAAATACGAATAATTAGCAGTTTCGAGACCAATGTATTATGGTATTAGTATATGAAATTCCGATAGGTATAGGTCTACCAGAATGTCATGGCACAAAAAATAATTAGAAAAGCGATTTTCATATAATAATGTTTATTTTCTGTAGTATCGGTGGGGCAAATGTTTGTGTGATGAATTTGCACTTAAGTCATGCATGGATGTTTATATGTATTTATAGATAAATATACTTTTTTTTTATACGAGGCACAGAAAATTACCCGGCCCCACCTGATGTTAAGTTTAAGTGGAGTCCAGTCGCGAAGATAGCTGATGCGGCAGAAAGTGTACCGCTTCAGTCATTCTTGCCTTGCTGGTCTGAACCAATGCCCTATCCCGCGGAGCCCTGGAACCCTACTCACCAGCAGAAGCACAACACCACCAAAAGGTAGTATTACCTATTTTACTGTGGTCTACTGTAAGGTGCAGGTTGCTTCCCCAGACGGGTGCTCCTATTCGAGTAGAAAATCCGCTGTGCCTTTTGATAGAGGTAGATAAAAACTTATATATACTTATAAATGTATCAGTACCTATATGTATTCTATCCGTTATCCTAGTATCTCATAACACAAGCATTACAGTGCTTACTTTGGGGCTAGGCTAATTGGTGTGAGTGTTAGAAATATTTATTTACTTATAACCCCACTGTCGATTTCGAGTCGTGACACAGTTTGTGTCGCGACTCCAAGATAATCACCTCGACAATTCTTTTGCATTTCTAGATTATTTTGTGTTATAGATATTCTAATAAGACTTAATTCTTTTGTAGTACCTACTTGGATAATGGGAAACGGAAAAAACCGAAGCAGGAGAAAACCAGGCGCTCGTAAGTACGCCGATTACTCCGCGGAAATGTTAAATTTGGCAGTGGATCTCGTGCGAAACAAAACTATTACCTCATATGAAGCGGAAAAGCAGTTTGGGATCCCTCGACGTACCATTGTTAACAAATCCAAAAACATTCATAATAAACCATTTGGTCGTCCCACAGAGTTATCAGCTAAGGAAGAAGCCCAGCCAGGCTGTCCTCTTACTCTTTTAGATTTACGTATAGTAGTTAACAACTACTTAGCGAAATGCGATAAAACTTATATTTTTAAAGGGAAAATGCCAGGCGAACGCTGGGCCCGTGCTTTCATACAAAGACACAATTTTTCTCAAAGGGCGACACAAAATATTAAAAAAAGCCGTGCTTTGAAGACAATCGAAGAAATGAACGAATATTTCAAGAATCTTGAAACTTCACTAAAAGATGTTCCTCCCAGCAATATCCTAAATTTCGATGAAACTAATTTGAGTGACGACCCCGGTTCTAAAAAATGTATTTTTAAAAGAGGAACCAAACACCCTGAAATGGTGATAAATACTAGCAAAAGTTCCATTTCAATTATGTTTAGTGGAACTGCTGATGGGAAATTTCTACCGCCTTATGTGGTCTACAAAGCAGAGCACTTGTGGGCTAAATGGTGTGAAAATGGGCCAAAATTAGCTCGCTATAATCGAACTAAATCTGGATGGTTCGATATGACTTGTTTTGATGATTGGTTCAAAACAATAGTTTTGCCATGGGCCAATTCTCTTGATGGCATTAAACTAATTATCGGAGATAATTTAGCATCGCATCTTAGCGTTGAAACAATTAAAACTTGCCAAACTCATAATATCAGATTTGTTTTTCTACCCAGAAACGCAACTCATCTTACTCAACCGCTCGATGTAGCGTTTTTAAGACCTATGAAAAGATTGTGGCGTGAAATTTTAATGAACTATAAAACTGTATATAGTAACCCACCACCACCATCAATAAATGTCACTTTCCTCAACTATTGCAGGAATTAATGACCAAAATAGAAATGACAAATGGTGAAAACCTTCGTAAAGGATTTGAAGGATCAGGGATTTGCCCTTTCAACCCTTCTAAAGTTACTTTAAGAATACCAAGTGTAGAAGAAAATTCAAATATACATCTATTTGATGCCAATCTTTTGGAGTTTTTTCAGAGAAATAGACAAATATCTTTGAAAACAGGTAATAATACAAAGTTAAGCACTATAGTACCTGGTAAATCAATTTCGACCGAAGAAGCTGAACAAATGGCGAAGGTAAAAATGGCAAAGAAGAAGCAAATTACCAAGGAAAAAAAAGGACCAGCATCCGGACCTAGTAAAAAAACAAATTTACAAAAGTCAATAAATCGCTTTAATTCAATTGATGAAGACAACTTTCCTCAGTTACGTAATTCGCTGTTAATGCACCAAAACCCCAAAAGCCTCTGTCAGCTGTGCATAAGTGCCATTAATATTTTCATGCAGCCAGTAGTAACCAACTCAGTGCATTACCTAAAACAATTACCAAAAGGTTCTAATACGAATGTTGCATTTTATAAAGACATACCAGAATGCCTGCAGGTAAAAACAGATCCTGAACCAACTAAAATTCTTAACAAAAATAAGCCTAAAATAATTATAACGTCTAACGTACTTATTAAAAAAGCTACCCCTGAAAAAACTTTAGTTTTGAGAGATAAAAATACATTTAAAAGAAAATCGAAACTTAAAAGGAAAAAGACATTTTATCATAGCGACTCAACCCTTTCATCAGAAACTTCTTTTCATGTTGCAGACGACTCTGACTACGAAAACTTTGACAATTACATTGAATCATGTTTACAAGAGCCAGAAGAACAAGAAAACATATGTCCTTTCGGACTTAGTGATATTGATTTTTATGTTAATGATTCACGTGGATTTCAAGAAAACAGCTGGGTAATAGTTCAATTTACTACGAAAAAAAGGTTTCGGGAAGGTTTTATTTATAAATAATAAAATTCCCACAGTGAAATTTACACGCAAAGTAAAAAATTCTAAATGTATGGAGGGAACAGTCTTCACTTATCCAAACATTAAAGATATATGTGCTATAAATTATTTAAATGATATTATTGCAGTATTACCTGATCCCCAAATTTCCCGACGAGGGCATTTTCCATTTAAAGTAGACTTTAATAAGTATAATATACAATAGGTGAAACTATTAATGTCATGGCTGGCCGTGGACTTATTTTGATTGGATTTACTAGGTGCATATAAGCTAAGCTGGCTGTTATTACTTGGTTTCTTAATTAATAATGGTCTGTTCTTTGCAAAAACTTCAGACGATCCTTTATTTACTATTTTAAAGTTACTTTGAAGGATTAAAAGGACTAACTCCAGAACCTTCAATTTTTTTGTTTGTTTAAAAATTAGTTTCTTGTGTTTATGGATATTGCTTATTATAATTAATACCTACGTGCATCACGGCCTTATGGTACTTTCTCTTGTTTTCACTAATCCCTGGGCTTTATTATTTTTTAATTGCTGATTTGTATAAGTATAGTTCAAATTATTTGTTATTTACGAACCCATAATTATATTATGTTTTGTTATTCTTAATTAAAATAACAATTTGTAATAACCAACGCCAACATAGCAATCTTTCCCAAAAATCTAAGAAATTTGACTGATCGGTAAGTTGGTGTCTTTACTGTGTCGGTATGTTTTTAGAGACTGTTTTATATATTATGTCGGTAAAGTCCGTCTAGAAATTAGTATTAAGGTAGCTATTATTGGCTTTTTAAAATATTTTCATTTCATAGATAACACTTAAAAAAACACGCTTAACACCAATTTGTCGTTTCTATGTTGTTCCTGAAATTTTAATTAGATAAGTACTTGCCTACATTAGTAATGGGCTTTAGCTTTTAGAGAGAAGAAATAATTTTATTTAAGGATTGTAACTTTTTGTAGTATTTTTTAAATTGTGAAACATGCCTTTATTACATTGTCTGTCATTTGTGATTTTTACTCTCTAGTAAGTACTTATTATATTTTTATTTTTTTGCCGAAAAATAATTATAAAGTAATCGGTATTTTTTTGGTTCAACCCTACAGCCAACGACATTTTTGTATGAGAAGTCCGTGGTACCTGCTACAACTTTGCCTATCAACTGTAAAAAAATAAATAATACCTACATTGTGTTTATTAAACGGGAGAGAATAAACACGGTGTCCAACGCATTCGGGAAAAAAAT